GGGGCTTGATCCCAGGACCCTGGGATCAACTCCCCTTTCGGAAGACAGATGCTCAACCAACAGCGCCTCTCCACTGATATGTCTATACACTGATGCAAATACCCGCCTTTTTAATCTTATTTATTCCCTCAGTTTCCAAACTTGGGGTTCCTCCAGTTGAAAGTAATATTCGTGTGGTACCTTTCTCACTCAAATGTGTCATTTCTAGCTCAGTAAGGGTGCATGTGATATGGCCACAAATTTGCATGAATCTATTCACAATAAGTTGTAACATTTTGTGATTTCTGTAACAGAACCATTCCTAAATTTAAAAATTAATACCCACCGTCTCTGCACTAATGAAACCCTTTCTCAGTATTTCGTTATCACCATAATGGCTTATATGATTTATAAGACCCCTTAACTAACAGGGCAGCAACCGGGCAACTAAGGTGTGGGATGAAATTAGTGGACAGGGGTTCCTGAGAGACTGCTGGCCTCCTCCCGTGGTCCAACAAGTGAATAACAATGGATACTAGAAACTGGTCTTGTCTCCTGCTTTACGCTTTAAGGAGCTCTCAGTACCATCTGGGGCACAATTAGGAATGTGTTTAGTGGCATTTATTAAATGAAACATTGCCCACAAATACTTAAAAGTATCACTAGACCAAATTAATACAAGACAGTCCTGATATCAAATTAAGAAAGTACTTTTTAAAATATGTATATGTCTTAACCCTCTTTTCGGCTCCATTTTTATGATCTTACAAATTCAATTTGCCTGCTTACTTGTTGAAACAAGTCTCTGAAGAGACTAATACTGTGTGTTCAAATGATAGATTACTTTTCATTTTCCTTTTTCACATTTTTCCATCCTCTCTGACCAACAGAAAGAGCCTCAGTTAGATAGAGAACCTCTGATTTTTGTGATTAATTTTCTAACCCAATTGGTCATCTTGACTCTTTTCTATGTTACTGAGAATTCACGGTATTTGGAAAGGTGTTTTAAGGGATGCGCTGCTGATACCCTAGGCTTTCATTACCATCGAATATCCTAAATCTCATGGCTTGAGGAGAAAATATCTCTAGAATATAGGTAGAAAGAGCAAGAAAATTTCCTAAGGATAGGTAGTTGAGAATCAGCCCAAATCTCAAAGACAAGGATGCCATATAGTAACTTAGAGATACACCATTTGAATAATAGGTAATTGATGACAATAGGGAAATCGTAGAGAAATTGGGACCAGTGATATTATCAACACTTACAGACTCCTTAATGTATTATGTTTAGTAAATCAGCTTACTCCTGGTACTTAACTCATATTTATGGATTAGTTCTTTCTTCTAACATTTTTAATAGTGATCAATTACATGCTAAATGATGTTATCATTTATGCATATATGCAGTATATGTGATAATATTATAAAATACACATTTGAATATGAATTTGAAAACATCACTAAATTACATTAATTACAGTAAAAATCTAGAAATGATATATAAAATGATGCTAACCCTATGCCTGAGATTTCTTCTGCATTTTATCTTTTATCTAAGTTCCAATTTCTTATGTGATTTTTAAAATTATTTTTGTGTTAGAAACAGGGGCCACTGAACTCCACTCTTAATACTTATGTTTACAAGTTGGTGGAAAACACATGTAGAAAACAATTACTTTTCAAGTCCAGAGCTTCAAAGGGTGCAAAGAAAGGTTTTGGACTTATTTCAAATATGTTCCGATTGTTCCACTACTTTTAAAAGCCTTTACAAATCACCTGTTCGATGTGTCTTCCCCCAACAGCTCAGAGAATGAACAAAACAATGTAATCTAGGTTTAAATTTGGGTTTCTCCTGCTCTTCAGATACTTATGTTTGAGCTTTCTCTTACTGACAAGCTACTTAAAGGGTCAGTGTTACTTTGAGGTTTTATCTATGAGGTTTCTGTCTTTGCGGCTCATTAAGAGCATTTCCAAAGATTACAATGTCAATAGCACCTAATTACTGGACTGTGAGAAAGGTCTTCTTGAGTACATAAAATCCGTGTCAGTGCCCCGCACACAATGGGCAGCTCAGATCCCAAATTTTATCACAGTTAAGTAGCAAACAAATTAATAATGTTACCTGGGCTCTCTTGGGATCATTACTACTGTGTCAAAACTGCTTTGAAATTTTGCAGATAGTACCATACCTCATTTTTTATTCCCTTATATTAACAAGGATATTTTTATCTCTCTCTCTCTCTTTTTAGCTATTTATCTCTTTTTCCACATTGCATGAGTGACTCCTTGTTGTTCTCTTTTGAAATTTTTGGATTCAAGCTTGAAATAACAAAGTCATTTTTAATCTGCTTAGAAAAGATGTATCCCCTGATAGGACATTGTTTGAAGACTCTATTTTACCTTTTATTTCACTGTTTTCAAAATACCTATTGCATATTTTGATAAGAATGATCAATTTATTCTTCTACATACGTTGGGAGAAAAATAATTACTGAAGAAGCAGAGGAGAGACCCGTTCTTTTAAATCACTAGACCCTCCTACTGCTGAGGACATTATGGCCCTTGTGTGGTGTGGGCTAAAAGGTAGGTCTGCGGGCTTTACTGGGGGGACTTGGGGGTAATAGGATCAATAGCTCAGAGGAAATAGGGGTTAGCTAGGCACATAACATACATCTCACGTAATCCTCCTCACAAAGCTACGAGGTGGGATCACCATCTCCATTTCCCCAGCGGACGGACTTGAAATAATATCAGTATGTGGGTAGAGCTGGGATGGGAAACGAAGTCTGCCAGTCTCCACGACCTCTCTGTTATGTCCTGTATTTTCCCCTTGCGTGTGGTTGAGAATGGGGCGATATGCCATGCATGAGTCTTGGGGGCAAGCCAACATAATCCAGTGGTGACCGGCCAGGGCTCTGGGGCCACACTGTCTGGGCTTGAACTCTGCTGTGTCACCCGTTTGTGGTTTTACCCTCGTAGCCCACTAACCCTCTCTGCATCCAACTGTCTCCTCCGCAGACCGGGCGAAAACAAGAGTGCCAACCCCCATGGGTTTTGTGACGATTAAGGCTAAAACATGGAAGACATTTACAGTAGTGCCTACATCCACTAAATGTTCTCTCTCTCACTAAATGTGAGTTGTAGAAGAATCTCGTAGTGTGAGAGAGAGAACAACCTCTCTTATATTCTTTGAGACAACACTAAGGATCCTGTTAGCAGAGAGACTATTCAGTAAGTACTTAAAATATTAATGTTCTATTTACATATCCTAAAAAATGGAACCGAAAACAATGGTGACTTTAAAGAGTTCGATTTGGGGTCCATCACCAAAGTGATCATAGTAATCCCCCGTGCTACAGAAAGAATAGATATTTGTCTATAAATCAGGTACACACTAACTTTGTGGCCAAATGCCTCTTTAATAATGTATTTATGAATTAGTGCTTGAAAATACTAATAATAAATTACACTATTTCCTAGGGGCCACAAGGGGGTACTCAAGCATGTGAGGTATCTAAGAAAGTTGGGGTGACTTGTTTCATGAAGATGATTTGGCCTTTGAATGTCTAGTGTGTAACCCATCCAGTAGCCATAACCCATGGGTTCATAAGATTCCCTTACTCCCCAAATTAGCACATGTGTAATTCTGTTTTCCTCCTGGCATTCGTGTATTCATTTCTCTTCATTAAAAACAGAAAATTTATTCCTAGTGAATTTTGAATGAACTAAAATCGACTTAACCAGAAACTTTTGTTCACTGGATTATTCCCTTGCAACACCGCCCCCCCCCCCCCGCCCCCCACCGGACACTACCTTTCTAGGGAACAACATGGTGTGTTGAAGTTGTATTAGAGATTTAGTAAAAGAAATTTCAGGGTTTTGCCCAGAGGCGTTGGGTGTGACCACCGTCACAGACATCTCCTCTACAAAGCAGATTAACATTAACAGATTAACAAAGCCCCCCAGATAGGGCTTTGTGGGGACTGCAAGATTATGGATCATGAAAAAGCATTTACATTTGCTTTTATTTCGTAAGGGGAAGGAGCAGACTAATGAACTATAGGATTTTCAGTAGACAGGGTAGAAATAACCATTTTTGGCATTTTCAGGGCGGAGGAAAGGGAGTGACGCTTGTTTTGGCGGCCGGGGTGGGGGGGGCTGTACCTCAGGTGACCATCAAGTTTCATCTGTCCTAGTTTGGACCTTTGAAAATGGTTTGCTCGGCTATGGAAAATCAATTCTGGATGCAAAACCCTCCACTGAATCTTTTGGAGTATGGAATGCTGCTGCTAATTAAACTCTCTCATTAAAATGTCAGCCCAACCATAGGTTCCAAATTCAACCTCTAGATATATTTTTTAAAGGTTTTATTTATTTATTTGACAGACAGAGATCACAAGTAGGCAGAGAGGCTGGCGGGGCGGGGGGGAAGCAGGCTCCCCGCCGAGTAGAGAGCCCAATGCAGGGCTAGATCCCAGGACCCTGAGATCATGACCTGAGCTGAAGGCAGAGGCTTTAACCCACTGAGCCACCCAGGGGCCCCAACCATCTAGATTTTGATGATAAATCATAAGAGTCTCTCTTCTCCTAATACATTACAGTGTTTTAGAAATCACTTACTGCCTAGGTTAGAATTTCCAACAACTCAACAGATCTAATCTTATTTCTCTACACTTATTTAACTGTTGATACCTTTAAAAGTTTCCAGAAAAATACTACCTATAATGTAAGCAGTGCAGAAAAAGCTTTTCTGTTGCATGGAAACCCAGAAGAAAGGTTTCTCTCTGCTGAAGCAGTCTAGCCTTTCAATTAGCCACGACCCATATTCAGAAATGCATATTAACGTTCTTGGATTCAGCATATCTGTGTATTGGTTTTATAAACTGGCTGAAAAAAAAAAAAAGCCATGCATTCATCCAGAATTCCAAATGCCTCAGGATAACAAAAAGAAGGAGCTGTCAATCTAGACCAAGCACCCATTCTGTGTGTGAACCATTTCTTCCAACAATAAAGATCCTTACCTTTTGATAAAGGGGAAAAAAATATCTGGTCACTGACTACATCCATGTCTTTGTCCATCTGCAGGCAAAGCAAGAAGTTTCATTACTGAGGATGGAGAGTAGCAACCAATTGAATGTTCAATAGCGAAAAAATAATCTACCTACCAAAGGCGTATGATCACTTCCAGAAGATGTAGAACCTGTTACCAAGTTTGTTTTAGACTGCACAAATAAAGGTTTTAATTTCTGAAAGACACAAAAGGTATGTACTGTGTTATCAAGGGGAGGTGATTATCAAATGGAACGGATGTAGGAGGTTCTCTGGTCCTTTATTAACCAAGATTTGAAAACTAAGCTCCTGATTTATTTGTTTAAATATGGCTAGGGAAATCCTTTTCTTGAAACCCTTGGAATAGACAGATCCCTTCTTTTTTGTGGCTACTCTGAGAGAAAATTCAAGAAAAATGTTCTCTTCAATGGCTGTTCTGACTCTACCTTTTTCTTTTCTTTTTATTTAAGTACCGTTGACACACAGTGTTGCATTAGTTTCATGTGTATAACTTAGTGATCTGACCAGTTTGCACATTATGCTATGCTCACCCCAAGTACAGCTACCCTCCATACCCTGATTCTACTTCCTGTTAATAATCTCCAGCCCGTTTGGGATTCACAACCCGTCACTGGCCAGGGATCACAGTGTTGTCCCCAACATCTCCTCGTTCCAGGAGGCTATGGCAGTAGTGGTCCTGATTCCCAGGAACTGAATGGTGAAAGCCCAGGACCATGTCTTCCAGGAGCCCCCGCATGCAAGAATTGTCCCCAGCATCATTTGTTGAAAAGTAAATGACAACAGTAAACATGTGCAGGTGAAAAGGAGGAAACGTACCCTAAGCATGTTTATCAGAAAGAGGCCTGAGGTCCGTGGATATACACTGGAGATTTAGGTGAAGTTTTCTGTCTGCAAGGCTTCCGTGTGTGCCTACACGCGTGCACACGGGGCTGTTTGCATGTATTTTTCTATTCTCCGTAGCCCACTCCCACTCTCTTTGTTACCACCCCAAGGAAACGATTTAAATATTTTATGTGTATCTTTAATTTGGATATGTTCCTGCAAAAATACATACTTTTGTGCCTGCCTTTTAATTTCCACTAGAGGCATTATGTGCTATCCCATTTGTTGATTCTCTAAAGCATAGCCTTCTGGTATTTTAACATCCTCTAAACTGGAATGCATTTCACAGTAGGTGGAGTGGCACAATGTAATTGGCAGCACTTCTCTCCTTTAGAGACTTAGAAAATCTTGAACCAGTGTTAAGCACATTTTAGATTCAAAGTGAAACCCAGTATGCCTTATGTGTTCCCACTTCTCTTGAAAAATACTAAGTACTATGTGTTTAAGCTCCATCCATTCTGCTATGTATGTAAAATCTAGTACTGCTCAGTACACAGTCACCTGAAGGTTAGGTAAGGTTTTAAGGCAGGAAAATATGAAGGTAAAAAGGAAAATATTATTAATTAAATTAACATCAGGATTGAGAACCTTTGTTTATGAAAAGATACCAAAACACCACCCAAGACAAAGAAGACATTTGCAACACCTATAACTGACAAAGGATGAGTTTCCAAACTATATAAAGAATTCCTTAAAAATTTTTTTATTCATAATAAACTTTTTTTAAGATTTTATTTATTTATTATGTTCAATTAGCCAGCATATTGTACATCATTAGTTTTTGATGATAGTGTTCAACGATTCATTAGTTGTGGAAGCTTGGTGTTTGATTGTTTAGATTCTACATATAAGAGAGATCACATGGTATTTGTCTTCCTCTGTCTGACTTATTCACTTAGCACAATGACCTCAAAGTTCATCCATGTTAATTCAAATGGCAATTTTTGTTCCCTTTTATGGCCAAAAAATATTCCTTTGTATATATACACCAAATTTTCTTTACCCATTCATCTATTGATGGGAACTTAGGTTGTTTCTATAACTTGGCTATTTTAAATAATACTACAGTGTCCATGGGGTATAAACATTTTTGAATTAGTGTTTTGGTTATATTCAGACAAGTACCCAGAATTGGAATTGCTGGATCATATGGTAGTTCTACTTTTAATCTCTTAAGGAACATAGTATTGTTTTCTGTATTGGTTGCACTAATTTACATTCCCCCAGTAATGCACAAGGATTCTCTTTTCTCCACATCCTCACCAACATTTATTTTTATTGCTTGTCTTTTTGGTAACAGTCATTCTCACAAATGTGAGTTGATATTTCATTATGGTTTTGATTTCCATTTCCCTGATGATTAATGATGTTGAGCATTTTTTAAAAAGATTTATTTATTTTAGGGACACCTGGGTGACTCAGTTTGTTAAGCATCTGCCTTCAGCTCAGTTCATGATCCCAGGGTCCTGGGCTAGAGTCCTTGCTTGGCAGGGAGCCTGCTTCTCCCTCTGTCTGACACTCTCTCTGCTTGTGCTCTCTCTCTCTCTGACAAATAAAGAAATAAAATCTTTTAAAAGATTTATTTCAGAGATAGAGCGTGTATAAGCAGGGGGAGGTGCAGAGGGAGAGGGAGACAATCTCAAGCAGACTTCCCGCTGAGCATGGAGCCCATCACTGATACCTTGTAGTTTGCAATATGCAGGTCTTTCACATACTTGGTCAAATTTATTCCTAAGCAGTTTATTCTTTTTGATGCAATCATAAATAGGATTGTTTTCTTAACTTCTCTTTCGATAGTTCATTATTAGTGTTAAGTAATGCAAGAAATTTTTGCGTGTAGATTTTGTATTACAATTTTTATTAGTTCTAACAGCTTTTTAAAAAAGATTTTATTTATTTATATGACAGAGAGAGACACAGTGAGAGAGGGAACACAAGCAGGAAGAGTGGGAGAGGCAGAAGCAGCCTCTCCGCTGAGCAAGGAGCCCAATGCGGGGCTCGATCCCAGGACCCTGGGATCGTGACCCGAGCTGAAGGCAGATACCCAACGATTGAGCTACCCAGGAACCCCCTAACAGCTTTTTTAAATAGAGTTTTTAGGGTCTTACAAATATATTATCAAGCCATCTGTAAATAGTGAGAGTTTTATTTCTTCCTCTCCAATTTGTTTGCCTTTTATTTCTTTTTCTTGCTTATTCCTTTCGTTAGGACTTGCAATACTGTGTTGAATAAAATGACAGGAGTGGACATCCTTGTCTTGTTCCTGATCTTAGAGAAAAAGATTTCAGCTTTTCACCATGGAGTATATTAGCTGAGGGCTTGTCATATATGCCTTTTATTATGTTGAGGTATATTCTTTCTATACCTGCTTTGTTGAGAGTTTTTAATCAAAAATGGTTGTTGATTTTCTTCAGAAAAAGGAATGTTTTTTCTGCATCTGTTGAGATGATCATATGAGCTTTATCCTTGTGATGTTATCAAACTGATTGATTTGAAGATGTCAAACCATCCTTGCATCCCTGGCATAAATCCCATTGATCATGGTGACTAATCCTTTTAATTACTGAACCTTGTTTGCTAATATTTGGGTGGGAGTTTTTGCATCTATGTTCACTAGGGATATTTGGCTTGTAATTTTCTTTTTTTTTATGGTATCTTTGTCTGATTTGGTATAAGGGTAATGCTGGCCTCATAAAATGTGTTTGGAAGAGTTCTTCTATTTTTTTGGAAGAGTTTGGGAAGGATTAGTATTGATTCTTCTTGGAATGTTTGGTAGAATTTACCAGTGAAGCCATCTGGTCCTGGGTTTTGTTGTTGTTGTTGGGAGGCTTTTGATTACTGATTCAATATCCTTGCTAGTAATCATTCTGTTCAGATTTTCTATTTTGTTATGATTCAGTCTTGACAGGTTACATATTTTTAGAAATTTATCTAGTTCTTATAGGATTTCTATGAATAAATAAGTAAAAGAGAACATAGTAGACACAAAAGGCTTAAACTTGAAGCACAAATTCAAAGAGAAAATCTGAATGGCTAATACACATATGAAAAGATGCATTTAGTAGTAGTGAGATAAATGGGTAAAAAAGTTATACCCCCCTCCAACAAAACAACAAGAAGAAACCATTACACAATCACAAGACAGACAAAAATTAAAGCCTGACCATATAAGTGGTAGAGACAATGAAGAAAGTAGAAACTTTCATCCATTCCTGGTTAGAGTGTTAATTAGCAAGAATAATTTGGAAAACGATCTGGCTTTACCTTCTATGGCAGAGACTGTTCATCATCTCTCAATACCTATTCTCCTTTATCCAATTCTGGCATTATTTTCATTGGGTATTTGGCTACCCCGTTTTCTCAGTCTTTTGCAGTTTGATCAGCCCAGTGGGACACGAGTGGAAGTGAGGTCCGCCAATTTGGTTCATATACTTAAGAACTAACATGCTTGCCCTGGACTTCCTCCTTCTGCCATGTATACCCACAGACATGGAGTTACCCAGCCTTCTTGGTGTGGATGGGGAAACATCCTAGGAAATGGCAGAGCAATGACTGAAGAAACCTGTGTATCATCATGACCGTGGAATACTTCTCACTACCCTGCCTGGGGGCTGCTCTTTTCCTCACTGACCTGAGAGAGAGGTAATCTTCGGTCTTATTTAAGGGAGCGTATTTTTGTTGTAGCAATCATATTCGTTCTTCCATAGACTTGAATATACCAATACTCTAGGACCAGCAATTCTATTATTACTATAAAGCCTGGAAAAACTGGGATGCCTGGGTTGCTCACTTGGTTAAGCATCTCACTCTTGATTTCAGCTCAAGTCATTGTTTCAGTGTCGTGAGATCGAGCTCTGCGTTGGGCTCCACGCTGAGTGTGGAGCCTGCCTAACATTCTCTCTCCTTTCTGCCCCCCCCACCTGCTCACACTCTCTTTCTCACTCTCTAAAAATAAACTAACAAAGCAAAACAAAACAAAAACCCTCGAAAAATTGCTACATACGCTTATCAGGTAAGAATAAAAGAATGTTTGGGGCAATGATGTTCATAATAGCAGAAAAGCGATATCTAACCCAAAGGCTGATCAGCAGCAGAGTGGGTAAATAAGTTGTGGTATAGTCAAGCATTAGAGTACTCTCAGTGGGTCAGCTACAACCACAAGCATCAACATGGATACATGGATGAGTATTAAAAGCATAACGTTCAAACAATGGAGCAAATCACTGAAGAATTTTTTTTTTTAAATTACATTCTTTCATTTATAAAAAGTTGAAAAACAGGCAAAAGTCAGCAG